GGTCAAAGGCCGGTTACAACCAATCAGATCAACCAGATATTTAGGCCCAGTTCTCCTCTTGCTCTGTGCCCTGTCGTGGTTTCCCTTGTGGTTGTCCGAGAGCCCGTTATCGATTCTGGCTATTCTGGTATTTTAACTTTGGCATTGATTTTGACTTCCCTGTTTTCTGGCATACCTGACCTCCGGCTTTTTCTTATCGTTGTGTCTCTTTCTGTGTCTCTTGACCTTGGCTATTCCTGACTATTCTTTGGTACATTAGTCCGGCCATTCTAAGGTCCGGTATATGTTACCTATCAGTCCTCTGTGTTACACAATTTTACGTGCTGGATCATACTGAAATCCTGACACTACCTTTAAGTCATCATAAATAATCACCCCTAAATCCCTTTCCTCAGATGTTGAGGTTACCACTCTATCAAATATTCTGTACTCTGCCCTTGGGTTTTTTCATCCAAGATGCATTATCTTGCACTTATCCACATTAAACATCAGTTGTAAACATGGACAATGCCACCACATATGGGAATATGTGCCTGTTTGCCCACAGCCACGCCAGCAGAGATTTGTAGAATTGGTGTATATTTTTTGGAGCCTGGATGGAGTCAGATACCAACGATATAAAACTTAATAGTGGTTCTCCAAATGAGCCAAACACTGGGTTATACCTTTCAAATTTAATGATATAGCCAACCAGTCATCCAGAGACATTTCTCTTTGAAGATCCCTTTCCCATGCGACTATGTAAATCCAATTTAGGGCCTATTAATATAGGAATAACATAATGATATAGTACGTTTCCTTCCTGGATTATCAATATTCATTTTTTTTTCTATTTGTGACTTCTCAAGTATTGGGACTTCAAATATCTTGCTTAATCTGGTAACTACAATCTCATATTTAGTTGCATCTGAATCTTCTAAATCATTTTAATCTAAATTTGTCAAATTGTAACAATGAATAATTTAGACCACAAAACTGTCCCCTTTATCTGCCTAAACATTGTATTCCAAGCATTTAGCATTGTCCTGGTTGTGGAAAGTATTTTCCTGATTTTAGGGTGCAAATTATGAGGTAACCATAGCAGTTCTTTAATTGAATATGGAAGTAACTTTTCTTTTTTAAATTAATAACTACTGAGGTAGATCGGCAGTCAGATTAAACTTAAAGGCCTGTGCGGCATTCATGCAAAATAATAACTTTGAAAATCAATTTCTCCCAAACCACCATTTGCTCTGAGATGTTGCAGTATAGACACTGATCCTACTAGGTTTGCCTGACCAAATATATTTTATTATAACCAAATTAAGTTTTCTAAAAAAAAAGAAAGTGGGATGGACAGTGGGATGGCCCGTAAAAAGTATATTATTTTCAGGATAATATTCATCTTTAATGAATGTATTTTACCCAGCCAAGATATCTCCAGCTCCCTCCATCTGTCCATCTCCTTCTGTAGTTCTGGCCAGATTATTGCCAAGTTACACGCATACATGTTCGACAGGTTTTTGGTTAAGCTTATGCCTAAGTAAACCCCATTCCCTCCATTCAAAATTGAAGGCATCCCTAAGACTATCCATGACAGGCTGTTGAACATTAAAGGGCAAAGCCTGTGTCTTAGTTTTGTTGAGTTAATAATAGGAAACATCTCCAAACTGTTTTAATATGTGCTTCAAGGAATGAAGAAATGCAACTGGGTTCCTTAAAGAAAAAAAATGATATCATCTGCAAAGAGCCCAATCGCAACACCCCTATCTTCAGGTCATTCCTAATTAGTTCCGCCAAGGGTTCCATCACCAGAATAAATAATAAAGGGGACAGGGGACAACCCTGTCTCATTCAATAAGTAAATTGAAAACTTTCTCAGAAGAAACCATGGGCTGACACTCTAGCTGTAGGATGATGATACAGAGCAAATATTGCATTTACTAGTGGAGTTGTAAAACCAAACTTAAACAAAACCTCCTTCAAGTATCCCCAGTGTATTATATCTAAAACCTTCTCCGCATCTAATGAAAGACACAGAGAAGGTGCTCAATCTGTTCTAATTTGATGAATAATATTAATAAACCTCCTAGTGCCATCTGTGACTTGTCAGTCTAACACAAATCCAACCTGATTGTTTTTAACAAGTTTAGGGATTATTTTGGCCAATCTATTAGCCGAAACTTTAGCATATAATTTGTTATAGTTGTTGAGCAACAAAATAGAATGAAAATTAGCACATTTATTTGGATCCTTTACTGGCTTGGGGAGAGTCAGAATCTGGGCACACCAAAATGATTTAAATAGCCCAGTCAAGTGTGGAGACAAAATAATTTAAATAGTCCTATAGTAATGCATGGTAAAAACATCCGGTCCCAGTGCCTTACCAGTAGGAGTATTTTTAATTGCCTTAAATACCTAATCCTGGGTTATTGCTAAATTTAGAGTCTCAAATTTATCTTGGGACATTTTTAGTAGCTGAATTTTCTATAAAAAAAAAATCTAACGATGTCCAAATTAGGTTGACTGATGTTTGGGTCTGAACTAAGATTGTAAAGGGACCTATAGTACTTTGCGAATAAATTGCTAATTTTGGTTGGATGTACTATTTTTTCACCACTGTCAATTACAAGATGTTCACTCCTAAATTGAGCCATTTTGTCTCAATTTGGAGGCAAGCATCGCTGAGGCTTTATTCCTTTGGAGTAAAAAAAGTGTCTTAAATGTTTCAACATCAACCTTGTACGAGGCAATTGTACAGTGTCAATTTGTTGCTTGATGTCATTTATCATAGTCAACATTAAGGCTGATTTAAGTTGTATAAATCTTTTTCCAAAGATTTCAAATTTTTAGATTCAGTTTTTTTCAAGCAGGATGCTCGTTTAATAAAGTGACCTCTCATAACAGATTTGTGATCATTCCAAACTGTTTCATTAGCCAGGTCTGGATCCAAATTATCTTTAGAGTAATTAGTTAGGGTAGTTTCAGCTCGTAATTTATTTTAAAGTTCCAAAACTAAGTTGTCAATTAATCTCCGCTGTCTGTCTGGAGTCACCGAGAGGGACTCACAAACATGTAACATTATCAGGGCATGGTCAGACCAATTGATATCTAATATTTCAGATCTTAATACAGTATGCAATGTTGCCTCATCCACCAAAAACCTATCGATACATAAGTGAGTATATGTTATACTACACTGAATGATAAGTATAGTCTTTTTCACTCCCATGAGTCACTCGCCATGCATTATATATACCATAGAAAAAAGATAATGAGAACATCTCTATGCCAAACTTTTACTGTCATACCTTTCAGATGAAGAAACAGTCTCTCTCATTATGTCCAATTCATTATCCATCACAAAGTTTGTATCACTGCACAAAATCAGCCTCCCGTTGCATTCACCCAAAACGTTCTTAAAAATGTTATTTAGAAATTTAAATTGGCCCGCATTTGGAAAGTAAATTTTAGCCACTGGGTAAGTTATGTTGTTAATCTTGCCTATCCAAACAAGGATTCTGCCCTCAGAGTCATCAATTACCTTACAGTCTGGCATGCCACATTCCTACTAAACAGGATTGAAACCCTGTCGATTTGGGTTTATAGGTGGAATTAAATTGAACAGGAAAATGCTTTGTCATAAGGCTTGGGATCATACCTTTTTTAAAGTGAACCTAGTGGAACACACCAACATAAAAACCCACTTAATGTTTGTGTCAAATCAGTGTGTGTATGTCAGTGTATCTGAAAGTGTGTCTGTCAAAGTGTGTGTTAGTCATTTAACAGGAAGAGGTGGGGCATTGACAGGAAGGGGTGGGGCAAATTTAAATTAGGGGTGCCCGAGTTCCGTCATGCCTAGGGCAGCACAGATATTAAATACATCACTGCACTTGGTACAAGCTATCGGAAAAATTATCCCATGCTAAGGTTCAAATTATGCCTTTTGAAATACCCAGGGATGTCTTCTTTAAGAACTAGTATGCCTTTATGGTGTAGTTGGAATATATAGCCTGGTAAAATACTCCAAAATGAGATCTGGACACACCCTAAAAATTCAAAGTTTTAAAAAACTAAAATGGGTGTGTCTCAAATGTTCCCCATCAATATCCATATATACCTGGCAAAGGTACATATGCAGGTATTGCTGTACTCAGACGACATAGCTGAGCAACATATGAGATATTATACAGTCGTAGCACACAAAAGGTTTGCAAAATTTACTGTGCAAACTCACTTTGTGTGTCAAAAAGGCAGAAGAAAATGTTTATTACCACTACACTTGGTACAAGCTAGCGGAAAAATTATTCCCCGCTAAGGTTCAAAATATGTCTTTTTATATACCCTTGGATGTCTTCTTTAAGAAATGGTATGCCTTTATGGGATATATGGAATATATAGCCTGCTAAAATACTCCAAAATGAGACCTGCACACTGCGTAAAAATTCAAAGTTTGAAAAAAAATGGAATGGCTGTGTCTTAAATGTGCCCCTTCAATATTCACATATACCTGACAAAGGTACATATGGGGGTATTGCTGTAATTAGACGACATAGCTGAGCAACTTATGAAGTATTATACAGTCGTAGCACACATAAGGTTTGCAAAATATACTGTGCAAACTCACTTTATGTATCAAAAAGGCAGAAAAAATGCTTATTACCACTACACTTGGTACAAGCTAGCGGAAAAATGATCCCACGCTAAGGTTTAAAATATGCCTTTTGGAATACCCATATTTGAAATATGTCACTTGCTGAAGTGCTCCAGAATGGACCACAGAGCCATCAAATCCATCTATGAAAATTCACACTTAAAAACCTGCTACGTAAAAAGTGTCAAAATAACCTTAGGTAAATAGCCTGTGATGTATACTTTATATGAATATATACTTCTGTGTGACAATTTTGTTTTTTTGTGATGACTAATGATGTCCCGAACGGTTCGCCGAACGGTTCGCCACGAACGCTTCGCCACGGACTCATCATTGAGTAAACTTTGACCCTGTATCTCACAGTCAGCAGACACATTCCAGCCAATCAGCAGCAGACCCTCCCTCCCAGACCCTCCCATCTCCTGGACAGCTCACTAAGAATGCAGCTTCAAAATGGATGCTGTCCAGGAGGTGGGAGGGTCTGGGGGAGGGTCTGGGAGGGAGGGTCTGCTGCTGATTGGCTGGAATGTGTCTGCTGACTGTGAGGTACAGGGTCAAAGTTTACTCAATGATGAGTCTGCGGTGAACCGTTTGCGGCGAACCGATCGGGACATCACTAGTGATGACTACTAAACTTACAAGACAAACATACCAACTTCTAAAATTGTTTCACATTGAAATTTTATTTTAGTCCTTGTATTTTGTGACCTGTAACTTTCAAAATAAGCTTAAAGGACCACTATAGGCACCCAGATCACTTCAGCTTAATGAAGTGGTCTGGGTGAAAGGTCCATCTATGGTTAACCCTGCCTGCTGTAAACATAGCAGTTTCAGAGAAACTGCTATGTTTACATTAGGGTTAATCCAGCCTCTAGTGGCTGTCTCATGGACAGCCGCTAGAGGCGCTTCCCACTGTGACGACCGAAGGAGTAGGAGAGTCCCCAGCGCCGAGGGAGCCCGGCGCTGGAGAAAGGTAAGATTTTAACCCCTTCCTTCCCCTTCAGCCCGGTGGGAGGGGGGCCATGAGGGTGGGGGGGACCTATTAATACTATAGTGCCAGGAAAAGTAGTTTGTTTTCCTGGCACTATAGTGGTCCTTTAAATCCTATACATATAATGTACTCTATAAATCAAGACACATAAATTAATTTATTTTGAATTACTTTTCCTAAGCTGGACATATTGTACACATGTTATTATTACCTAAACTATGAAAATGAAAGATTTTCTTTGTTTTTTTCCCCCATTTTTTTTGGCTTTTTTATAATTAAAGAGAATTTATATATGTATATGTGACATCAAATTAAAGCCCTTTTTGTCCTCTAAAAAAAAGGTATATAATATGTGTTGGTGCAAAAGATGAGAGAGATGCAAATTGTGGTTGTACACTAACAGCAAAAAATGCAAAAATTGATTGTGTCCTTAAAGGTAAGACAAGCTTCTGAAGCTGTGTCCTTAAGGGGTAAATTGGAATGTTGACACTCAAAAGGCATTTGACTATCTTAAACAGCATTTTACATCTGCACCTCTACTCAAGATGCCTAATTCATCTCTTCCCTTTATCTTGGAAGTAGATGCTTCAGATAACGCCATAGGTGCTGTTCTTTCCCAACAAATAAATCCCCAAGATCCTTTACATCCTGTTGCTTTTTTTTTCTTGTACCCTATCTCCAGCTGAAAAAAAATATGCAATTGGAGAAAAAAGAATTATTAGGAATAAAAGCCTCTTTTGAAAACTGGCATCATTTACGTGAGGGAAGTGAAAAACCTATACTCGTCTACCCTGGTCATAAAAAACCTTGAATTTCTACAGACTACTAAAACATTATCAGCGTGACAACAAGGTGGAATTTGTTCTTTCAAAGGTTCAATTTTCTCACAATATATAGATCTGGTTCAAATAATAAAAAGGCTGATTCTCTATCACGTATGCATCCTCAAATGAACCTACTTCAATCATATCACCTTCTTAGTTTATTGGAATAACTTCTCAATTTCTAAAAAAAATAAAACAAATTGATAAAGAAGAACTTCAAATGCCTATCAATTTCAGTTTAACTGAACAAAAAGGTGTTTACTTCAAAGGGGATAAGTTGTGTATTTTACTTCTCCTATTATCCTTCTCTAAGAACTGAAGTATTAGCAATGGTCCATGATCTTCTGCTTGCTGGACACTTGGGAATAAAGAAAACTGTCGCTCTAACAATCAGACATTTTTGGAGGCCTGATTTAGTCAATACTGCTTTGTCCGATGTGTCCTCATGCCATATCTGTCAAAGATCTAAACCTGTCCTACAGCATTCTTTTGGATTATTGATGAATTTGCCTATTCCTGATCATCCATGATAATCCATCTCTATGGATTTTATCATTGACCTACCAATATCTCAAAACCCAACCACTATTCTTGTGGTTGTGGATTATTTCATAAAATGTCTCATTTTATTCCAATTTCAAAAATTCCTTCTTTGCTCAAATTATCCAAATAGTTCATCTCTAACATTGTACGACTTCATGGGTTACCTGATTAAATTATCTCAGATCGAGAATCACAGTTCTGGAAAGAACTCTGAAAAGAATGTAAAAGTCTCAGATTTATAAATACATTTTCATCTTCGAATCACCCTCAAACAAATGGGTAAACTAAGAGAGTGAACCAATGTCTGGAACAGTACCTTAGATGTTTCTATACTCATCTTCACGATGATTGGTCATCATCGTTACCTTTGGCTGAATTCGCTTATAATAACTCTTTACATTCAAGCACCAAGATGACACCCTTTTACTCCAATTATGGTTTTCATCCAACCTCTTTTCCTGCTGATCTCATTTGTAGTACCAACCCTTCAGTGAATTTTCAAATAGAAGAAATTACATATTTATACAAAACCCTAAAATGCAATCTTGAATCTTCCTCCTCAATTCAAAAGAAATTTGCTGACAAAAAGCAAAGCCATCCTGTTGAATATAAATTTGGATATAAAGTCTGGCTCTCCACAAAAAATATCAAAACAAACAGACCTTCAAATAGACAAAGTTCCCTATTCAGTGGGCCTTTCCCTATAGAGAAAATTATAAATGAAGTTGCTGTCAAATTAACTTTGCCTTCCATGGTAAAACTCCATGTTGCTTTCCACATGTCTCTTCTAAAACCCTATGTTCCAGATCCATTACCAAGAGATAAACAACAACCAGTTCTGGTTGATGGAGAAATTGAATATGAAGTCCATAGGGTCTTGGATTCTCGACTTCATCATGGAAAACAACCATACTTAATCTGTTGGAAAGGGTCCAATACTTAATCCGTTGGAAAGGGTATGGCCTCGAAGATGACACCTGGAAAGACAAGGAAAAAATACATGCCTCACGATTAATTGCACCATTCCATAAAAAATATCCTAATAAACCACACTAATAGCACTCAGAGTGTGCTCCTTAGGAGGAGGGTACGGTCATTATTCCCCCTTATTATTTTCACTCAGATCGGCATTTACCCGTATGACTTCTGGTTTTTGCGGATCCAACTCCGCCCATGTATTTGATGTCACGCTCTTCCCTGTCAAAAGGATGCCGCGGGTGCATGCGCATTGCTCAATCAATTTGCTATTTTGCCACTTTGCTACTTTGTTACCTACTTGTTGCTAATTGCCGACGGAGCTCCTTCGATTTATCACCCGTGTACCAAACCTCTTCTACCTGATGCAGACTTCACTCCCAGACTCGGAACAGACTTGACTACGAATTCCTCTAATTCTCAGTATACTGCAGGGATCCTCAATCCTCATTAACATACTGAAAACGACTTCCATTCTCATCATCCACAGGAATCAAGCTAAGTTCTACAGTTAATAGGGTTAATAATTGGATCATACCTTAAAGTTATTTGAAGGGTAAAGGGAATACTAATGTCTGCCCTCTGTGAATCAATTAATTCTTGGTTGCTCTATTAAAACTTAAATTATGGCTGATTGCTCTTTCCTAATTTGTTTCATTTATAATTGTTGGAGTCTAAAAGGACTATAACTGTTCTGTCCTCCAGACTTTATTTGGTATATTTGTGTTTTGTTGTTTGAATAGTATGTTTAAATAAAGTTGTTAGAAGACACAGTATTATGGGCAGAACTTCTACAGGAAGTGTATTAGCTTCCATTTTGGGAAGATACAGTAAGCAGCAAGTCATGTTCTTCTCACCCCTAGCCATCACCCCTTAGAGAGCTTAAAGGACACCTATAGTGCCAGGAAAACATACTCATTTTCCTGGCTTTATAGTGCCCTGAGGGTGCCCCCACCCTCAGGGTCCCCCTCCCACCGGGCTGGATGGAGAGGAAGGGGTTAAACCTCTCCAGCGCCGGGCAGGAAGCTCTCCTCCTCCTCTCCTCCCTCTTCTCCTCCTCTTCGGCTGAATGCGCAAGCGCGGCAGGTGCTGCGCGCGCATTCAGCCAGCATTCAGCCACCATTCAGCCCATTCACAATGCTTTACTATGGACGCTGGCGTCTTCTCACTGTGATTTTCACAGTGAGAAACGCGGAAGCCCTCTAGCGGCTGTCAATGAGACAGCCACTAGAGGCTGGATTAACCCTAACATAAACATAGCAGTAATCCTAGATGGACCAGGCACCCAGACCACCTCATTAAGCTGAAGTGGCTTGGGTGCCTATAGTGGTCCTTTAAAAAGTGAGTTCTTGTTATCCTATCCTGTATTATTAATCATGGTTTCTTTGTTGTATGCAATACTGTACTGATTGATGTTTATTTCTACCAATTTGTAGTTTCACCTGGCCTGTTCTAATAAATTTGAGATCAAAGAAATATGTTATCTGGAATTTATGGAGCAGGAAGGTTTAGCTCTCTGTCCTAGAGACAGAACAATAACCACTATCCAAATCAGGATCTATTTAGTTTCAACATTTACTGTTGCAACTTAAAGGACTGTGTTACTTTCCTAAAACAGGAATTACCTGTTTCCCCTATTCTTTATTTAAAGTCTAATCATCTGTATTATTTGTTCCTAATCAAGGAGTTACCTTATTTCATTATTGCTATTGAATACCATTTTTCTGTGAAGCAATTCTAAGCAAAATTACCATTTCTAAATGGGATATTCTTTTCATTTTATATTGCTGCAGAAAATTGTTAAAGCAAATGTAACTTATTTCAATAAATCAAACTTTCTTAAAGTGACAGTATCAAATTTATTCTTTCACCTACGGTTGAGTTTCAAATAAAGTTTTTCTAAAAGTATTACAATTATGCACTTTGGAACGTTGTCCCGTGGAGCACCTACAACTACTGCTGCCATATAAAGAAGGGTTTTATCCTATATTGATACATTTACCTACACATCAGGTGCCAGGTCTGGGCACGTAAAAAAAGGTGAGAAGCAAAATGTGTGTTTAATCATACTCTTATATTTAAGGTGTTGATGGACTACGGCTGGCTGCTCACCCCCACCCCCCCAGTCTATTTTTCCTTTTTTTTTGTCTTTATCTATATGAGGATATCTACCATAGGCACTTCAGAAGAAAATGTTGAGTGTCACCTAAGTACAGGTTGAGTGTCACCACTCACATGGCTCTCATCCATTAGAGTGTATCCATTGAGCACTTATACACTGAATGTCAACTGCCAGTGTTGCACTATATATGTTTTATTCTATTTTTCAGCACTGTGTCTTCACTTTTTAACCCTTAGGGGTAATTGATAACTTATTTTAGCACTGTTCACTTGTTACTATTGGTATATTCTTAGCATATAGTGATTATTATTTCTTTTTTATAATGGTACTAGGTGCTAACACTTCCCCATGAGAAACTGTCATTAATCTTAACCTTACCCTGCACAAACCTGAAAAACTAAATGTTGTATTTCTACAGTCTTATGATTTTAGAACAATGAATCACTGTAAATTATATCAATATTTAATCTCTGTGTTTTGGAGATATCATAATAAATCGCCAGTCTGACTATAAATGTCTCCAAAACCCAGACATTACATTTTTGCACCTTAATAAACACTTTGCTGTTATGTATCTTCTATATTACATAACATATTTTTTAATACACTTTTTTAATTTTGCTTCATATTAGCTGTAGTTGTTCCTCTGCATTTCACCTGCTGTTGAATGTAACACACAGACATACAATGACAATGACCACACTAATACAGACATATAAGCTTCATGTAAAGCTGGCCGGGCATACCGTTAACATCAATCCAAAGCTTAGCCTGCATTTTTAAGTGAAACTAATGTTAGAAATACTTTGTCATTATAATATCATGTAATATGCACGTCTGTTTTTATGTAGTATTAACATGAATTTACTTTTCCTTAATAAGTCTGTCAGAATTTACCTTTTTTTTTTTTTTAATGCTTGGAACTCCATCCTTCCTTGGCTGCCATGGAAACAGCAAGGTACTATTCCTCCCCCTCCCCTCTCTCTTTCTCTCTCTCTCTCTCTCTCTCTCTCTCTATGTGCTCTCTAATATCAAGAGAGATAGGGGAAATACTGCAGCTCTTATAAGTTTGCTATGTTTTTATTTTATCTTTTAAACTAAATATGTGTGTTGTGTATGATTACATGTTTAGTGTTAGTGTAGTCAATAGTTTAATGTTAGTGTATAGTGTAGTGTATTGGGTTAATATAGACAAATGTCTGTTGTAGTATGGTTAGCGAAAATGTTATCATTAATGTGTAATATATATGTACAGTAAGGGAAAAAAATATTTGATCCTCTGCTGATTTTGAATGTTTTCCCACTGACAAAGAAATGACCAGTCTATAATTTTAATGGTAGGTATATTTTAACAGTGAGAGACAGAATAACAAAAAAAAACACAATTCCAGAAAAACGCATGTCAAAAAAGTTATACATTGATTTACATGTCAATGAGTGAAATAAGTATTTGACCCCTTTGACTTAGTACTTGGTGGCAAAACCTTTGTTGGCAATCAGAGGTCAGATGTTTCTTGTAGTTGGCCACCATGTTTGCACACATCTCAGGAGGGATTTTATCCCAATCCTCTTTACAGATCCTCTCCAAGTCATTAAGGTTTTGAGGTTGACGTTTGGCAACTAGAAACTTCAGATTTACTATGGGATTAAGGTCTGGAGACTGACTAGGCCACTCCAGGACCTTAATGTGCTTCTTCTTGAGACCCTCCTTTGTTGGCTTGGCTGTGTGTTTTAGGTCATTGTCATGATGGAATACCCATCCACGACCCATTTTTAATGCCCTGACTGAGGGATGGAGGTTCTTACCCAAGATTTGACCGTACATTACCACATCCATCGTCCCTTTGATGCGGTGCAGCTGTCCCCCTAGCAGAAAAACACCCCCAAAGAATAATGTTTCCACCTCCATGTTTGATGGTGGGGATGGTGTTCTTGGGGTCATAGGCAGCATTTCTCCTTCTCCAAACACGGTGAGTTGAGTTAATGCCAAAGAGCTCCATTTTGGTCTCATCTGAATCTTTCACCCAGTTCTCCTCTGAATCATTTAGATGTTCATTGGCAAACTTCAGACCAGGCTGTACATGTGCTTTCTTGAGCAGGGGTACTTTGCGGATGGCGTAGTATATTATCAAATGTTTTTTTAGTGACTATGGTCCCAGCTGCCTTGAGATTATTAACAAGATCCTCCCGTGTACTTCTGGGCTGATTCCTCACCATTCTCATGATCATTGAAACTCCACGAGGTTGCACCAGACCGAGGGAGACTGACAGTTATTTTGTGTTTCTTCCATTTGCAAATAATGACACCAGCCGTTATCACTTTCTGCTTGGTGATGGTCTTGTAGCCCATTCCAGCCTTGTGTAAGTCTACAATCTTGTCCCTGACATCCTTGGACAGCTCTTTGGTCTTGGCCATGGTGGAGAGTTTGGAACCTGATTGCTTCTGTGGACAGATGTCTTTTATGCAGGTAACGATCTGAGATTAGGAGCACTCCCTTTAAGAGAGTGCTCCTAATCTCAGCTCGTTACCTGAATAAAAGACACATGGAAACCAGAAATCTTGCTGATTGATATGGGATCAAATACTTATTGACATGCAAATCAATTTATAACTTTTTTGACATGTGTTTTTCTGGATTTTTTTTTTATTCTGTCTCTCACTGTTAAAATATATATATATATATATATATATATATATATATATACGTATGCATATAAGTGTGTGTGTATATGTGTGTAGGTGTATGTGCATGTATGTATCTGTAGATTTGTGTGCAAATGTGTGTGTAAATGTACATGTATATGTGTATGTACGTAGAAGTGTATCCGTGTGTTTATGTTTGTATGTGTTTTATATATAGATATATGGGCTGCTGTAGC